TAATAATACGTCAGTTTTTGGATTAATAGAAAAAATATATAGTGTGACAAATAGTAGTTTATAAACATGAATAAATGGCATCATATATATGTAAAATATTTGAAAAATATATGATTACAAATTAGTCCCATAAACAGAAAAAAATTCGATGCAGAAAAAAATTAATACATAGATAGATAATATTGCTTATATATAAAGTGTCTCGATTTCAATCTTTTTTCGATATATACTGGAAAGTCATGTATTTTGTTTTAAAGATTTTAATTAATTTATGATTTTATCTAATCTTCTTATTATCTTCTTTGTTATATTGTCAACATCATATAGAAACGCAAAAGCAGACACACATGTCAACCGCTGTAAATATTTAATAGAAATTGTTTAGAGAATATTAAGTTAAGTGCTCTCAACTAGTTTAACGGCTGCGCATGTATCGATATTAGTCACTTGGTCTTATCAATACGACAGCTTCTTATTACGTGATAATGACCAGTAACCTTTGTACCATCGAGTACGATGCACAATCACGAATTTAAATTAATGGTTTGCGCTGGCGGTAAAAAGATAAGAATAATGTACGACTAAGCAGATAACAAAAAGTAAAAGTAAATATTTTCTTACCCATCAGACAGCACGCATGTCTAAAATCGGATTGTAAAACACCTTAAAGACATTTTACCTTCAGTTTTGTCTGCTGCAAGTGTGTCTGCTTCTGCGTTTCTATACGATGTAGAAAATATAACAAAGAAGATAGTAAGAAGATTAGATAAAATCGTAAATTAATTGAAATCTTTAAAACAAAACACATGACTTTCCAGTATATTCGTAATCATATATTTTTCTGAATAGTTACTCTTGTATGTTTATAGGATATACGACGTGATTTATAACAAATTTTTATTTTATCGTTAATAATAAACAGTAAAACTTTTGTCTTCCAATTTAGAGAGAGGAGCTAATTGGTTAATCGGTACTTTCAGATAAGCGAAATGGTAATTGCAATCACTTTTTTCTCTCATTATCAGTACAAGGTTGAAACACAATGTATTATAGCATCGGATAATAATTCGATTAAGTATGATTACAATCGGGTAAAATTCCTCAAGCAAGAATTTAGAGGGCACTGTTAATAGGGAACATTTTACAAGATAGAATGAGATAGAAAAAATATAAAGAATAAGAAATTAACTGAAACAAACAGATATTTCATTCTATCTTCAATTTGCAATAAAAAATAATAATAAAACAACCTCGATGTCGACTCTTACTAAAAAAACTTTACATTTGGACAGTGCGGTATCATATAAGGCTAAAAATGTTGCACATAAATAAAGTAATGCGTTCTGCGAATGTAGCCTGTATATATGTAAACGCAGAAATATATCAAATAGATATGCACATAAGACAATTTAAATAAATGTATGCAATGTGCAATCTACATTACTGTTTAATTTAAATAACGCTATCAATGGAACGCCGTATCTGCGTAACTTTCCGTTTGCGAGCGGAATAACGTGGAATGCGTAGTGGTATAGAATCAAAGAATTAAATTAATCAAGTTGTTTTCCATTCGTCTGCGTAAGATGCATATATAGTAAGACTGATTTTCATCTGCAAGTTTATATTACTGCACTTTGTAACCACATCAAAGTTCACTTCAAAACGATCTATAGATAATTTGTGTTAGAAATCAACACATTCTATTTATAATCTTACGCGTCGCGTAATGTAAAAATTAAAAAAGGTATGTTAAGTCAATAACTCACATTTTTTGCAATTATTTGTTGCCGCTTTTCCGTGATGCTTATCATTGGTTATCTCACTATGCTTACTTCCTTGAGCGGCTGTCATTATATATTTTGACAGTTATTACGTGTATTGAGATTTGTTTTAGTAATATTGAGATTAATAGTGTAATAGCAGTATATATATACTGCTATTACTATATATATAGTAAAATAAGTATAGTAAATAACGCTTTTATCTGTAATTGATGAAAATTACAAAAGTTTTTGTAGTTCTATTTTTAGTTCTTTTTCAAGAATTTATCAGAAAAATATGAAATTGGTATTTTTTATCATGCTTTATCTTAAAAGTTTTCCGTACTTTTGTAATTTTCATCAATTACAGATAAAAGCGTTATTTACTATACTTATTTTACTATATATAGTAAAATTCTCCAAGAAGTAAACCGCGAGCCAGTGCTCCAATCGAAAGCACACATTCAGCACGATATTATTGTAAATTTCGAAATGGAACACGAAACTGAATCCGTTCTTTTCAATTTCATCGTATTAAACTTTATGCTCAAAATAATACGTTCGGACATTGTAGAAAAGAAAAGGCGGAAAAAGAAAGATCAGGAATCGAGCAAGAAGGGTAGCTAAAGGGATGGAATCTACCCTCGAATTGGGGCATTGAGAATTTTGGCCCTCGATTGTAGAGAGACTCGATCGTTCAGAAAAATCGTAAGCCGGCGCGTGACTCGCGTCAAAGCTCGTGATTCGTCTTGGCTCGTCTAGGCTCGTCCCAAGATCGCAAATTGATAAGAAATAGGCTAAAATCGTCGTCCTACCAAGTTCTACGATGTGTAGAGGCTCGCCGAACCATAGCAGATTCGTGGCCTTTACGCGCCGTGGAAACAATTGGCTCGCTATGAAGGCCATCACACGTACAAAAATTTTATAGTCGTAATCATAAACGGTTAACCAATTACAATCAAAATTGTGGTCTTACGTTTCAGAACGTTCGACTGTAGTTAATCAATATGCTTATACGATCTTATGGCTACGATTAAAATTTGTGTACATGTGGCCTTGACACGCTATCGCACTTTTACGATTCATGATTCGTGACTTCTTGTTTCCGCATTCTGTTCGTAGACTCGGGCACGAAGCAAAGAGCTCGTGTCTTGGCGATACAATAAAAGTAAATAATATAATAATTAATAATAATAATAGTCCTACGTCATTGTCATGCTTAAGCCAGGATTCCACGACCTGTAGCTCGTCAAGGCTCGTCACAAGACCGACTCGCAAACTGATAAGAAGCAGGCTAAAATCGCGGTTCCACGCCGCGTGTAGAGACTCGCCCGAGCTATGGCAAGCTGAGTCGCGAGCTATAGCAAGCCACCTTGCTTTCCACAGCGCGTAAAGGCTCATTGATCCACGATTGCCATCGGCGAGCCTTTACACGCCACAAGGTGGCTCGCGACTCGTGGCTCGTTGTTTCCACTTAATGACCCGTTTACAAAGCCTTTTGAGTTGTAAATTTATCTCGACAATCTTCAAAAACAATGCGCTACGAGGTGCGAGTATTGGCAAATCATTCTGATTCCACGGAGTCCCACGATGCATTGAAATTGATTCACTAAGCCATGGCGAGCCGTAGAATCTCAGCTTAAAAGTGTCGAACGGACACGTGATGTTACATATGTTTTTTTGTTCCTTACCGGTAGCAGTGTTGCCTGAGCGTCGAGCGGAAAAAGCGGTTTCTCGGCCGTCGGTCTGGAAGCCCAGTAAGCCACCCCGGTGACGAAGAGTGCGCCGGCCGCGCCACCCAGATACGGCAGATAGTCGTCGAATTGAGACTGTAACACTTCGTTTAAGATCGTTTGAACCGTTTGGAAGAGACTGCCAAAACTTATGTAATCGGCCTGAAGGCGACGGCTACTACCTGCATAACGGACGGGTCTAGACAGGTACAAGATGCGCTATTGCCGCGAGTCGTCCGACGACTTTGCTCCCGAGCGTGATCGCTCACCACGAGCGACTCGAGCGCGGTCTCGTAACGAAGTGACTTGACTGTATCCGTGCCAAAGTTCGAATCCCATGGTCCTGATTGTCCGCGGACCTCGCGTCACTATCTATTTACACGGGCCCGTTATCGCGTGAAATTACAATGCTACTCTGCAACGAACCGCGGCCGCACGACGATTCCCCCGCGGAATCACTCTCAAGTGCTCCGCGCGAATTAACGACTTTGCGACGCGGAATTGCTCTCCCGTATCTTTCGTAACAACGACGCGAGAATATTGTAATCTTGAATGGCAAGGAGCGAGAGAGAAAGAGAGAGAGAACAAGAGCGAGAAAAAGATAGAGAGAAAAAAAGTGAGAGGGGATAAGATAAAGAGCGGACGAACGAGCGAGCGTGCGAGCGTGTGAGATACCGGCGCGCGGCCGCGTGCTCGCACGGGTAAAGTCGATAAGCGACAAGCGTGTGCTACTCACTGGCGTGGGGAGAGGCAGAAACCAGGCCCGCTGCGATTATCCGCGCGAGATCCTCGGCCGCGTCGAATACGACGGGCGCGGATTCGAGGAACCGAGAGCGAAGGATGGCGCACCAGGGTGGTCGGCTTGGATGGCCGGAAGAGTGGCTTAGGTCAGGGCCACGGCATGACACTGTCTTTTCCCTCGCCACCGACCACAAATTGCTCAGCTCGGCTCGTTCGCTCGTTCGCTCGCTCGCTCGCTCGCTCGCCACTCGCACGCTCACACGCACGAATGCGACACGAACTGAACTTCCCTCACTGCTGTAAACGCGGCGCCATGACGTCACCTCCGCGCACCACGGCAGCGAGAACGGCGCGAATCGATGCCGGGCGGCCGGACGGGCGCTGCGACGACCACCCTTTCGTCGTCACCGCGACAGCAGCCACCCCGCGAAAGCGATAAAATCCACCACCGTGCGCAGCGCACGCGCACATTGTCGCGCGTCGTGCGCGCGCCGCGGGACGCTAGTCGGTGAACTTTGAACGGAGAACCCTTCTGTATTACCATATTGGCATACTTTATCGTTACTTTTGTACGATACCTTGAAAAATGAGGGCGAACAGAGACTTGTGGAGATATATACACGTCTAGATCTAACACATATATGATATAAGTATATTCCTCGAACAAAGACCTGTCAACCGACGACTTAGATAAGATATTGCCATTCGTTGGACATGCTGAATACTATAAGATATGATAATTTATAACGATTGAAAATAATAGGGGGGAGTGAAGGCACGAAGATATCTTGAAAATAATACGATTAAAAAATACGGCAGTATGTCAATGACGAAAGATTTGAAAAGCTTTTAAAAAGCTTTTTAAAAACTAAATAATTTTAACATAATCTGCCTTAAGGTTTGTTTCTTAAATTTCCAAACGTATTGAAATCTTTTTGAATTATTATATTGAGCCTTAATAAATTAATTTTATTTTGGCAATCTGAGATATAAGAAAAGTAAGAAAAACATTATATATGGCTGAAAAATTATTTACATTATATCATAATTGTTTTAGATAAAAAAATGTTTAATAAGTTACATAAGTTAAACGTCTTGCTTACACGCGATGCAAAGTTAAGAAAATTGATTGTACTAAGTATACCGACAAAAAATATCATCGATTTTCATTATCTAAAAGTATTCTTCGGCTAAAGATACCGACGAGCCCCACAACCGGGGGTAGGCATGCAGGATCCGCTCGGTCGAGTGGTGGTCTGCGGTTGATAAGGACATTCCAGGCGGTAACTTCGGACGTCTCGATTGGCGGCTATTTGGAGAGAGCGGTTCTTCAACCGGAGCTCTCATCTTCGAGAGATGCGACGTTCGCAGTCCGAGGTAGAACAGCATCGACATCGTGTCTTCCTCCAGGTATCGGGTGGATTAAACCAAAAATTAATTAAAAGAAAAGCCTCGCGTATGCCTCGTATTTTATTGAAAGAGAGAAAGAAAAAAAAGTAACATGCAAGTTGCGAGGTGAACGAGCGTACCGCGATAGATTCTCATGAGAGCTGCGATTTTTATAGATTTTATCCCGATATATAAGTCCGATAAAAAATATATCGAGATAAATGAAAAAGAAAATATTTTAGTATTATTATGGGAGTTTCTCTGATAAAATCTGTGGCCGTTCCGCCTTCGTCTAACAATAGAACACATCGAGGCTTTGCTATACGAACTCCGGGATACTGGCTGCTGTTGATCGCGGGTGCGTTCTTCGTCTGCTGTTTGTGGAAAACCGGATCGATCAGTCATTGGAGCTCCAGCATGCGCGCGAAAGCCTTGATCCACTTTGACTTGTCGATCCCGTCGTCATCATCGTCGTCGTTGTCGTCGTCATCGTCGTCGACGACGTCACGTCGACCGCTCTTTGACAGGACCAACGCGAGACTGTCGCGCGACGCCGCGCGCCGGAAACATCGCAGCACCCTGTCCAAATACATGCTGCAGCTGTACCATAGGCGTCGACCGGACGCCGACGTCGTTCGCGCGATTCAGCCAGTGCACACTTCCGGTCCGCTCAGCGACGGCGGCAGGATTCTGGAATTCGTGATCCCGTCCGCGGGCGTCGACGAGACATTGGAGGCCGCGGAACTGCTCGGGATAGCTGGCGCGATAGTCCGAGTGCGATCATTGAACGATCTGTCGATGACGAGGAGGAACGGAAGCGAGGAGATCCGAAGATCCAGAAAGGACGACGCCTGGCGGGCCTTTGACATCACATCCGCCGTCGCCGGCAGGAACGGCGACACCGTCAAGCTCTACATTCACGGCAGGTTGACCTATCATCCTTACGGTGACGGTCCGATCCTCCTGCTGAATTACAGCAAGGCCAGAGACGGTCGGCGCCATCGCCGATCCGCGGAGGAGCAGGAGGAGCAGGATCGCTGGGAGGACGAGCTGCCGCGAAGACGACGTCGGAACAGCTGCCGCCGGCGACCCATGTACATCGACTTCGCCCTGATCGCGTACGACGAGTGGGTGGTCGCGCCGCCGGGATACGAGGCTTATCAATGCATTGGCAAGTGCTTCTTCCCGCTGGGCGATCATCTCAGCCCGACCAAACACGCGATAGTGCAGACGTTGATGCACGGCGCGGTCCAGGCCAGCGAGGATCTCCGCGGCAACAAGTTTGTCGGTAGAGCCTGCTGCGTACCCACCAGACTGGCACCCACGAGTCTACTCTATCTGGACGCGAGAGGTACTCTGACCTACGAGTACGGCTACGAGGACATGGTTGTCTCCGAGTGCGGTTGTCGCTGATTGATTATGTAATGTATTGGACCGTGCATTTTAGACGCTGGACGACAAGTATGTGTCTTTCGCTTTTTTATTAACAGAATTAACGTAATATTGCGTAGAAACGAGTGTACGAAATGTAGAATATAAATACAGTTGAACCAAGATGCGTAACGATCTTCTAAGAAGAGGAAAAGTATTGCCTTATCTTTATCGTGTGTGATGTCAAAAAGAAAAATTGAAGTACAATGTAAAAACAGACGAATCAAATATAAATTGTATTTAAAAATTTTCATATACAAAACGGTCTTGTTAAAACTGCGATTAATTTTTAAGATAATTAAGCAAGAATGAAAAAGAAAATTTCCAAATTTTAATCTTAATTCATCTCCTTTGTCTAAAATTTTGAAATCTATTTATATTAATCCCACATGGTAACTAAAATAAAATTGAGTAACAAATATAATTAGAAAAGCAGAAAAGACTTTCCTTACAGAAGACCACAGTTTAATACTTAAAATAACTAATTATAATTACTTTTAATATTAAATTTCTGTAAGGATTCAATTAATTTCGAACGTTATCGAGGTTCAAATGTAGCACGCTATCCATTAATTTGAACGTAGGCGCTACCATATTATCATACGCATTGTCAGATTTCACCCTAATAGTCACAAAATAATAAAAAAAGTATAGTTTCTGGTCTGGTCCTTTTACCGATTATGCATCATAAAAAAAAAGTCACTGAATAGTCTTCGGTATGCGTTAACTTAAATTCGTAAGTTTCGCGCACATTTCGTTGTTCTTTTGATTGAGCATGTAAGATCTGCCGGGTGAGTGGACCTTCATCCGGCGCGTTTTCCTCAACCTGTGCCGGCTGCCAGGTATTCTCTCGATTTTGTAGATCTGATGCTTCACCGTGGTGACCGGTTGGCTCAGTTTCATGCACAACGCCACCGGCCCGCTAAAGTCCACGTCAGTGGACAGCTGAAGTTTCGGTTCCATCGCCATCGTGAACTCCGCCTTGCTCTGCACGAAGCTCGTGTGCACCCGAGTGCCGCCGTGGACCGTCACGCCGGCGTTCATGTCGACCAGGGAGTGCGCGTTTCTCGACCACAGGCTAAGCTGGATCTCGCCGGCCAGCTCGAAGCTCACGGCGCCCTGAATATCGATCTCGGCGACGAAACCGGATCCCAATGGCACGTATTCGCTATGACTGTACAGAGAGGCGAGAGACTGGAAGGCGGGGGTCCTCGTGTCCGCCGTGCCAGACCAGACGTGGCCCATCAGCTCGCCCTGCCCGGAGAAGAAGACGAACGGTCGTATCCCGACGTCGAGAAGGTCAATTTCCATTCCGGCGGTGGCCACCTCGGCTTCGTCGGCTTGCGTTTCCTCCTCCTGATTCGAGACGAAGCCGCCGAGACCGCCGGCGAATAGTCCCAGCGAGAACATCGCTTGCCGCTGCTTGTTGCTTTCCAACACGACGTCCACGATACCGCGCTTCAGGAGACCGGAATTCACTTCCTGGACGGTAACCAGAGAACCGTTGCTGTCGGGCGAGCGCAAGAAGTCCCTCGCGAAGGCGGTGCTGAGACCCCGCTGTGCTTGCACGTGATAATTGTTGAGTGTCACGTTGTCGCTCGCATATATGCCCCTTAGGCACTCGGCGAATCGCGTGACCCTCTCGGCGATTTGCCTCAGACGTTGACTCAGATACCTGCGGACCTCGTAGGCCGAGTCGTTGTTACTTAAATACATCACAAAGTCGCGCAAAACTTCGCAGGAAGGCTCGTTCTCGAGGATAATGTCCAGCGCGATCGTACGCGCGCTGCTGTCCCTTCGCGGTCCACCGATCTGATAGAAAATCTTGTGCGCCGCGCTCTTCAGCTCGTCGGTCACGGCTTCGCGCGGAAGGGTCCTCAAGGCGCGCCAGGCGGCGACGCTGATGGTCCTGCTGTCACTTAACGCGTGCACCAACAACGTGGGTACCGCCGCTGGACTCCTCAAGTTTCGCAAAGCTCGCAGGAACTTGAGCTTGCACTCCTCGCCGGTGCAGGTCTCCAGGCCCAGTTCCAGGCTGACTCGCGCCTTCTCTATCATCGCGGCGGACCCGTAATGCCGCGCCATCGCGCCCGCCGCGAGCGCATAGGTCTCGGACACCTTGTCGTTTTGCATCGTCTCCTCGGAGCGTCGCAGAATATCTCTGGCTACGTCGACGTGTGGCGTCGGCGAGAGAGATAGCGCCCACAGATACCGCTCGGTCTCGTCACCGGTCTCATCCTGCCGGAGTATCTTCATGGCGGTTTGATGAGCGGACAGTGTAGACGCGGCGCCAAATACATCTAACAACTGCATCTTTATCCGTTGATTGCGCGGCGTCTTCAAAATCTTGTGCAGCTCCTCGGGCGAGGCGTTTCTGACTAGAGGTAAAAGCTTGAGAAAAGCCGACGCGGATTTCGCCGAGCCCAACGCGGAGGCGGTGAGCGTTTCGTAGTATTCATCGATCGCCTGGTTAATCTGCAATAAAATATTTACTTAAGCGTTAAAACAAAATGTAAATATCAAGGTATTTGTTTAAAAGATTGGGTACATGTTGCGGGTTGCAGCATAAAATTTTTATCAAGAGTCATTAATATAATATTCAATGTTTCATACAATATTTCATAAGAATTAACAGCCCATTTTTAAACACGTTATAAGAATTAAACTAATATAGTAAACTAATATATTGAGTGTGATTAGTTACATAGCCTGTTAATTATTTTAACTTATATTTCAACTTTAAAGGATATTCACGAAGGAACATTCAATTCTTGAAATTATTTAATCTCACCAGCGCGATAACATTAAACTCTTAAAGGTGTATGATACAAATAGCAGGCACTATTTATCTACTTTTCGTAACATTATGCATCAGAGAGTTATATATCCTTGTGGTCCGAAAAAAAAAGAAATAGACGTTAGAACAGGCAAAGGGATTTACCGTGGGACATCCGGCATCAGGACATATGGCGGGCATCGGTCGGAGTACGAGGTCAGTGTCTGTATATGCGGTCTCTGTGTATTTGGGCTGAAGCAGCATCACCGCCTGCTTCGCGGAATTTGCCTGGACCGCCGTCGCGCTCAGAGCCTCGGCTGCCTGCCTGAGCGTTCTTTCCGACACGACACTCGTACCGACGTCGGGCTTGAACACCAAGGTCATTCTGTGCATCTCGTAATCGACCACGTGTTCCGGCAGCAGCGACTGCGTCAGCACGTACGTCGAGTTGCGATAACTCTTAAGTTGGACGGCGAACATCGGATTCGGGTGCTGCCTCGGCGGCGGCAGCGTATCGTACGTGCAGGCGGTCTTACGTTTTTCGATAACATTATCTCCGGACGTCATGTAGATTACGTCGCAAAGGCCAGAAGCGTCCCGTTGACGCACCTCGTCGTCGAGCGTTCGGTATTGCAGGAGACTAGCTAAGCCGCGCTTCAGGTTCGCCGACGACGCGGTCTCGGCCGGGTCCATGTACATGGCCTCGACGTCGCCGTGTCGCCAGAGCACGAAGAAGGGCTTCTCGGCGACCTGCTCCACTTTGGATGAGTGCTCCACAAAACCTTCCGGCTCCGGAGCTCGCCGGGATTTGATCCATAATTGCGGTGACAATAACTGAAGGAGAATGTCATAATATAATATTTATTGTAAAAGAACATTAGAATTCGTCAAGTATTTGAGAATTGTGAACTATCCAATCTTATAAAATTTCCTGAGATATATGCAAACTGTGCATATTAAAATTTATTTTATTTAAAAAAGTTTTCAGTTGTGAACTAAAGTAATATGAAAAAAATATATCTTACTTATTTTAAGGATATAGTTACTTTACATTAATATAATTTGAATTATAATACATTTTAATATAATATATTTTGCATTGATCAATAACCAATATGTTTAAAATTTTTCTCGATAAATTCCAAGCTTGTTATTAACTGATTTGTTAATGAATTATTTTCAAGGCTCTCTTCTTCGATGTAGCTCAAAAAACATTTTATCTCTCTCGGTTAGAGGGTTATCAGCCAATGTAAGCCCGACACGATTTTTCTCATTAATCGACGAACGTGTTTTTACGAGCCTTTAATAAACCTTTTTAAAAGATGCTTTATTTCTTGTTATGAAAACTTTTGTAGGTGATTCATATGCAGACAATGAACATATTCGAAATGTCAAATGCTTATCTGGTTTTAAATTTCATTATTAACTCGTTAGGAAATTTTCTACAATTACACGTGCAGAAAAAGAAAAATATTTATACGAGTACAACATAAATTATTATATTTTTATTTTAAATAATTCTCTGTACTATCTATGATACAAATAACTTGTCAAAGAAAATAAATATTACTGTATAAGTAATTTATCGTATCGTAAAAATATCTCATTTGTTAACGCATCAAACTACAATGAAATAAATGTAATATAAGATATATTTTAATAGATAGAATGCCAAAAGCATTTGGATAGTTTTACAATTAGTAAAATTTTAAAAATAAATTTGCATATATAATTAAATTATATAATTTTAATAAAAAAATATTTTTTCTTTATTTTACATTTACATTTTTTGCGGAAAGTAAAGTCATTATGTCTGATATGTATCATAAATATGCACATAAATAAAATTGCAAAAAATTTATGGAAATTTAGCGATTACAACACATCTTTTTAACACCACTAAAATTACTTGATGCATAACAGTTAAGACACTTTTGACAATTTAATAAATTATTACAGCTATTTCTTTTGAAGAAAATTAATATTTTTTTAAATTATTTATAATTAAAATAAATTTTGTATAGAAAAAACGAAAAGGATTAATTAATTATTTATTCGTCTTTAAAATAAAAATTGAAATGAAACGAAGGACGACTTAAATCACGACTAAAATTACTTGACATTTTTAATACTAAAACAATATTTGGATACTTGGAAATAATAGTAGAAGGTGGCATACCTCGAATTTAAGTAAAAAGGTATTGGGATCGTTGAAATCCTGCCACAGAGCGATGATATCGAGTTCGCTGGTCAGCCTGAAACCGACATCACCCCCGGATTTCGGCGTTTCGGCCTCTCTGAAGATCAGCGTGTTCGTCAGCTTGTATTTGTGGCCGCTTCCTACCTGCCAGCCTCTGGTGCCGCCAGCCACGGCTGCAAGTATTATACATATTTTCCAGTAGTGACTCGTTATCGCGTTAGAAATCATCGTGGGGTTTTGTGTGAGGTAGATACGTTGCATGCGGGCGCGAGTGGACGCGCGGATATGTGCATGTGGATTAAATGCTCGACGACGTCACCGATCGCGAGTCGCGCGTCGACTGACAACGACAACGCCAGACGATGAGGATCGCTCCTCTCTCGAGACGGCACGAGAAGAGACGCATGGTACGCACTGTGTGTGTACATGTGTGTGCGTGTATACGCGCGTGTGTATAAACGGGGTACCGTTAATTTGTGCGGAGTCCCTGTTACACGACGGGCGAGAATGGGCGTTGCGCGTGATTTTTTAAAATTCATTTCCCCCTTTATTTAAGACCGATTGCTGTGTGAAACGATCTGACGAAATTTTACTGGCTTGTGAACGTTTTTCTTAATTACGATTCTTGATTTGACGATGAAAATAGTCACCTGGTGCCATTTGACAGTACGAACCTGTAAAAAAAATATTTCTTGTATTTTTTATCGAGAAATGTAGATCATTGTATAGAGTGTTCGATAAAACGTAGAGCACTGACTATAAAGACTACTTCTCGTGAAGAAGGAGAAACAAATAAAAAGTATAAAATATATTTTATTATATAAATTCTTTCGGTTAATGTAAAAGAATTTTTTGAGAAACTATTTTGAGAATTCGTTTGCTTATCAAGACATGTCTACGTGTAGCTTCAGAAACTATTTACATAGGATTACTGATATCGTTGTTAGTTTTACTTATCGTGTTTCTTGATACGACAATGTATTTTAGCATGAATATATATTTTTATGTTATGAGCTCCGATTAATTTTCGTAAAGAGCCATATCCAACGCAGATTCAACGTACACTCAAATTGACGCTACATTTTTATATATAGATTTTTTAAATCACACAAGCCACAATAAAAATTATATTCACAATCAATCTAAATTTTTGGTTTGTCTTTCCACGAAGAAACGTTTGCACGGTTGCACTAGAATTTACTGGAGCAACAGTGCCATACTTCAATGGACCACTATGTTCCGGCCGGCTCGTACGGCGCATTTTTCAATGAATGACTTTGGGGAGACAGAGGGAACGAGGGGTCACCAAGGAGAACGGCGTAGTGCGGGCGGGGGGGAAAGTAAGGGGAAAGTTCGCACAGGGTGGGAGCGATACAAGAAAGGCAGGGGAAGACGGCTGTAGGGAAGACCACCGCCGGTAACTCACCGAGGAGCGTCAAAAGGTAGACCAGGCAGACGGCGAGCATCCTGGCCGTGCCTCGAAGACGGCTGGCCATCCTTTCCTCGCTCCTGCTGTTGCCCTGCGCTGCGTCGTGCCGCGACGTCCGTTCTGTTCCGCTCCGCTCTGCGCTTCTGTGACCGCGCTTCTTCGCAACCTCTACGAATAAACACGAATAATTAGACGGGGCAGGCCTGGCGTTATCGTGGTCCCCCGGTTCAGAAACCCCTAGCCCCCCCCCCCTGGTCCCCGTCGTTCCACCGTGAGCCCACTCCACGGGGACTAACAGGGTCTTTTGCTCGTGGTCCCCTCTTCGCACGCACGTACGCACGCACGCACGCACACACACGTACGCACGCATCCGTGACAGACGCAGAGGAAAACGAGTATCGGTTCCCCTTGATACATCGGACTTGGACTCCGCGGCCGTCGCTATGGACTGTAAATCACATACGCGCCGCGCGCGGAGCATGTAATATCGTGATCGCTTGATAATACGTTGTAGCGCACGATGACCGTCGTCTCGCAAGGATGCGAGATGTGCGTGGAGAAAAGAGCCATCACGAGTGCGGAAGTCGACCAATTTGTCCGATCCGGACTGACGAGTGCGCGCCCATACCAAGTGTCCCGGGTTCTTGGCAATAGACAATATATTGGATTTCTTTTCGTTGGACGAAATGACACGCGTAAGAATGAGATAATACAATATCACATCTATTTAACGATTGTCTGCTAGGTGCGATAGTGACCTAGCAGATAGACATGAATGTTGAACGAGATATTATTGTTTCAAAAATTTTCAGTCTCCTTGGAGATTATTTTCTTTTTCATTTAGACCTATCCGCATAATTGATATTCGGCTGCATCAATATAATTAAAGTTAAAGCGTTCGGCTGACGAATTCATGTCTTTTTCTAAATATCATATATTATATTTTTGATATAAAAGAATAAAAGAAGAAAAAAAATTTACTTACTTTCAAGTACAGCCATAGCAGTATTTTAGTTATTTCAATACGTTTTATCTCTCTCCAAAGTTAGTCACTCGCTGTTTGAAACTCTTTTTGATTTAACAAGTGTAGAGTCATAAATATCACAAGACAGTTCAGACGGATTAGAATAATAAACCGATGAGGCAACGAGTGTCTCCTTATCTGTGCTCGAAGGCAAAGTAAAGCGTGAGGATTTAAAGTAACATTTTGTTAAAGCACAGTCCAAACAGATCGGAGAAGACGACGGACTGAGTGGAACAAATTGGAGACCTCGCGTAATCAAATGTAATGGCACGCACGAGCACGAAATAATATGCGTCATGGATCTACGGGGCAACTGTCTGCTAGATCGAAAGCGAGACCACGTCAAACGAGATGTCGTCGTTCCGTTCGAAGCGAGCAACAATAATAACGAATGTCCGTGGAAGCGTTCTTATCAATTAGCCTCTGAACTCATCGGATGACCTCATCGACACCGTCGTTCAGCCGATCCTGCTGAATTTCGATATCCGGTTTCTCAATTCATTCGAGGCGATATAACCATTAATATGCCGATTTTTTTCGTTTACGCAAAATAAATGACCTTTTAAATAGATTATATTATAAAGTTTAACAGCGTTAAATGCGACAAATTAAACGAATAAGCACGGATTTTACGCAAGATTTTATCGTTTAAGCTACAACGTGAAATCATGTGCTCTAATTTTTTATTAATTTTTCGTATAAATAGTATATAAATGAGAAAAAGATTGATAATTTAAAAATGATTTGTTAATTTCTTTTTCTTATTATTATTTTTTACCTATAAAATTAATGTCTCAAATATATTTATTAATTAAATATTAATAATTTTTTCTTTCTCTCTCTTTTTCTTACATATGCATTAGATTTTCTTTAAGTATGTCTTTGACTCATATGATCGATTTGAAAATTAAAAAATTTGACAGGTCGATATATAGAATATTTAGTTTAAAGCATATTCCTTAAGATGGCACAACAATCCATTTCCAAAAGAAACTTAATCTTGTTTCGATAAAAATACGTTTTTTTTTAAATATTTGTCATAATCAAGTCCAACAATTGATCTAATTATTCTTTTGAAAAATTTTACAAAATATTATTTGAAAGCTAGATATTGAACACGCGCTGGAAAAAGACGCTAACTGGCGTCAAAACTGCGAGCCATCTCTTTGAATCGATAAAATAACATTTGTCGGCAACTGGAATCATCCGTCGTTTGTATAAATTTTATGTTGCAAAAATTTAAATCAATAATAACATCTCTAATGATAATTAAAATTTAAAAAGAAAACTTAATGATTGAAATCTTTTTGCCAATAACTAATTTAAATATTTTTATACTTAATTATAATTATTATTAATGTTACTAATTATCGTAAAAAAAATTATCTTAAACTTGTGCAAATGCTAATAAATTGTAAATTGTAATAGATATAATTCGTACAGTCTTATTTAATAATTGCCGATTAAAATAAAAAATTTGTAAATGTTGTACATAAATATTTGAGAAAACATAACGATAACTTTTAAAGCTACAGCTATATGTAAATTCTACTAAAATTTGATACCGCATAATCATGATTTTCGAGCCGTAACTATTTGTAATAATCGTTTTACACGATTCCATCGGAAATATACGAAGCTTTGCACATTTCCGTTATACATTGCAATTTTGTCATAAGTAATTTTGCGAATCCAATGTATGCCATTATTCCATTTGTTATTGCATGTTATAATACGCATATTAATAAATAAATGTATTAATTAGCTGCTCAAATATACATAAACCAGCGGAAAAAGCGGAAATATCGATAGCGTCGGATAATCGGCTCTTTTCATGCTTTATTTCTTCGGATCAGCGAATGATATTCTTGCTAGATAATTGAAAAGAGCGAGAAGAAAAGTGAAATCTCTCGCGTAACATCTACGCGTTTATACAAGTTGTTTCAGAAGGAGATGATCGACTTTTAAAAAAGTAATATATGTAATTACTAAAATTATATAGATATTATAGATTATAAAGAAGCTATATGGCAACTGCTAACGATATCAACATAATTTATTCCTTTTTTAAACTTACGTAGCATTTTACAAGTTCATTTTGTAAATCACATCAAAATTAAAATTTTTTCCAAAGCTTCACAAAGTTGTACAGCATTAATTTCTTCATCGTCTTATCTATTATAATATAATGACCATTCGAAATGACATTTTCTTTGGAATGTAAAAGTTCCATTTGAAAAACTTGTCTTCTATTAAACATACGAGTGAATATATTCGTGTGATTTCGGTTTGCGATTAATTGTACGACATGGATATACAATGATGTAGTTCCACGATTTAAAATATTAGCAATATCGTAATTTTGCTAGCGTCTATCGCGAGTTTTCCTCCTGAAACGTCCTGTACAAACCTGCGGAAGTAACCGTTCAGAAGCCGCAACGAATGAACGAACCAACGAACGGGCGAATGAGCGAGCGCGAGCGCGCTAAATAATCATAACTCAGAGAGACATTTGTAACGCCAGCCTCTCGCTCGTATTTATCGCTGTTGTTGGACGGTTTGTTGCAGCAATAACGGTAATGGGCCTCCCCCGCCTCCGGCTTCTCGCACTCCCTCCCTGCATCCCACCACCGCCCCGACCTGCTCCGTTGCGCTCTCTCTCTCTCTTTCTCTCTCTCGCCTCGCCGGCCACCCCTTGCCGAGCGATTTATCCTCGGGTAATTAGCACGGGTAATAATTAATGCGGCCGCGCATTGTGCTAATTATCAGCGAGAGAACCTTTTAAGAAATGAAAGAACATTCGAAATAAAACAGGGCGCCGCGAGGACGGTAAGGGGGTAGGCAAGGGGTGGACGCGTCGGTAGCAGCGAAGAAGACCGGGAGGTGAGTGTGAGTGGAAGAAAACGGACCGAAAAGAGTGGAGGAGAAGGAATAAAGAGAAGAGGGTTCTTCGCGACAACTACGCGTGTTTGTACAAGGTGATTTGATACCATCGAAACGTTTTAATCACAAATTTTATAACAAATCAAGACTGTAATAGGTAGAACGTTTGTCATTCAATATTGCAAATTCCAATGAGAATTTCTACCGATATAGATTCTACTCGTGAAATTAATTTAAAAACAAGATTTTATTATTCGTTTATTACGTTCTATAAAATTAATTCTTAATAGTTCTTAATCTACAATTTAAAAAACTGCAAGAAAGTTTGATTTTTTTAAATTTTTATTTCTTTTTTGTAAAAATTGTAATAATCGTTACAAAATCTCTCTCACTATGAGAGGATGAGCTAAGCCGTTTGTTATTCCAAGAGTTACAAAGGGAGGAAGGAAGATCTCTCTCTCGCGCGCGTGCGCGCGGAGATAAAACTCCATTGTACAATTCCCTCTGGAATTAACTTGCAATATTAAATAACTGTCGATCTTTCTTTCTAATGCTTAAAAAGTAATCCGCATGTTCCTAAATTGCAATATTTGCGCGGTCGATAGGACACGATGATGGGGCACGGTCCTGAGAGGGGTAGCATACACGCGTTTCGCGGCGGGACTCGCGCGTGTGTTACAGAGAAGAGCGAAAGGGAGAGAAGTGTGTCCGCGTGCGGACTCGCGACAACCAGCGGAGTCGAGCAGCTATCCATCAGGCTGCTTTTGTCGCCCTAATGAGAGCCTGAATTATTCAACCTGGAGACTCTCTTCTCCCGGCCTTCCCCGGTTATCCCTAACGTCGATTCCCTTCTTCCGCGCGGCCGAGACGGCCGCCCCATTCGCAACGCTCGTACGGGACGCTTGAAAGTCCTTCATTCCTATACGTATCTACATTACGTACGCGATCATTAATACGCCTCACCTTCCGGTTAGCGACAAACTCGAGAACGGCCGCTGCGCTTGGAGAAAATCAATTCGAGCCTAAGCGGTGCCTAAACAGCGCGCATCATCGTGTAAATACGATAATTATGGCAGATGGTGTTTAACTGTAATGCAAATGCATGGTAATATATAAAGATAATAATTGCAACGTCAAATGTAATATATGTATATCGCAAAAAGATCGAAAATGATATTTTTGTAACACTATCGAAAATCCGCGCCTCTTTAAATTATTCTGCCTGTCTCGTTGTCATAATATTGAATTTTTCATGGAAGGCAGCGCTTCAATTATAATTAACATATACATGAATTCGCGCGCGAAATCTATCAGAATATATATTTTTAACTCTCAAACGCGCCGTAGTGTTACCGATCTGGTGGCATAATATTCATATGCATAACTTTTACGCCGGCCCCCACACTCCTTCATTCCATTTAAATTTACCCGTTATACGCTGAAATGTACAAATATCGTTTTTAATGGCGAATATTTCGTACATTTGTACCGGGCGGGTTCGGTGGCAAAACATTAAACGCAATCAAATGAAAATGTGATATCAAAATAACGTGATGGAATTTCTCTGTGAAGTGCATTAATAAGCGTTAATAATCACATAAATGCCGTCAAGGTATTATATTTCGGTCTAAGCAGCTGAACAGCCTGATGGACGTCGGACGAAATCGTGCATGTGTATCTCCTTGCAGTAAATTTCGCAATTTTCAGAGTTTTTTTTTTTTTAATAATTTCACGAGACTGTCAAATATATTTTTTTTTATAATTAACGGGAGAGAGATATTATTTTTCAAGATAACGAGTAAATTATAAAACGATGCGTTCGTGAATTAATTCGCAACGCCTATATCGCCTTCAATCTCAAGTTCCCTTTTAACAATAACGATATTAATAACTGACGCGTGCAATCGTGCGAATCAGGACGCGGCCGGGGGTGGAGTTCCGGCGGCAACCACCCGTTTAAGGGGCCACTTCCGAGAGAAACGGCTGCCGGCGAGAGCGCGCTGTCGACCAATTTCTTAAGAATTTTACAGCCCCGGCTAAACTTTCGTGATTAACTACTTCCGAGTTGTTTTCAAAAGTGGAGCGTATATTACACCCGCTTGAACACTCCCGGGGACGGAACTCGTTTCGGTCCTCGGCGAAACGTCTAAATACGAGCTTTTACCGGCCGACCTCCTTCGCGCGACGCTGCCCGGCGGCGTCGCGAGCCCGCATTCACGGCGCGCCTCTATACGCAAAGCTCATTTCCCCACCGAGATAATTGCACTGTGATATCACCGCGGCCCATCCTTTCTTTTTTT